TTACTACTGGTCTCCCAATATCCAGGGTCTACCTCATCACGTGGTACCTAACCTAACTCCATCAGAATTTTCTAAAACCTCCAAGTACGACACTAAACAAAGCCTACTGCTTCAGTAACAAAATTCGTCAAAAATACTTTACATTAGATTTCTCTACAGACGCCATCTTGAGCATCAAACATCCTTATCACGTGGCAACCTAAATCCGCGTCCAAACACAAATAAACAGTTTGAACGAAATCTACCTTATCTCCGAGCACGTTTTAAACTCGTGTTTCTGTACCCGAATTTCCTGTATTTTCACGCACGATTGATTTTATAACCGCGCTGTATCTAACGCATACCGATTACTATACCTATACATATGCACTACTATACGCCACAACATGCAGCTGACGGAATCGCAAGATGCGAAGCATGCTTTTTTCGTGGTTTCCTTCGTTCAAACGATTACACGCCGGTATCGTGTCTTGCACAAAAGGAAAAAAGGACAGCCGTGCAACCAGCGATTTTCTAAAAGTAAATGAAACTTTGACGGTAGTTTTTTTTGCGGAACGAAATCCGATCAGTGATTATAGGCAGCGTCTGAACATGTCAGATGGGGATGCTTTTTGTCGGCTTTCAATGGAGACCGTTCCACCTGAGATTCCTTTGTCTTGGACACGTTTTCTTTGTTCAAATATTTTATGGTTGCAAGTAGATTCGTTTGGAATTTTAGGGGAATAAAAGTTGATTATGTGACTATTGAGGGATATCGATTTGATGGTAAAAATTAGGTAAAAATTCACAATTAGGTAAAAGTTAGTTGTACAATCTTATTTTTATTTGTAAGTGTTGCTTCATTGAAATGTTAATTAGTAAACAAAGTTTTAACTTTTCGTAGTGACCATTCCAATATGGCGGTCTCTGAGGCCACACGTTAGCTGTAGATTTAACTAGCTTAAGGGTTAATCTTTTACATTGATTAAAATTTGACGTGCAATAGTAAATAACTGAAAAAATTAGTGACTTTTAATTGATATATTTAAAAAAAAATTAAACGTCAACATACACATGTATATACATATGTATATTCGTACATACATATGTTCATACACATATCCATACACATACTCGAAGAGTTATTCTCGAAGAAGTTAACACACTCCCGAAGAGGTTAACAATCCCACTTAGCTAATAATAAACCACACAAGGTGCACTAATGAATTTCAATAATTAAACCAAACAGAAGGAAACTGCAATGTAGCTCGTAGATCGGTAGATAAGATGAAACAGAATAGAATGTAATTAAGTCAGATTTAAACGTTCCTGAGGATTTCTGCGAAAACATAATCGGTTCCAAGGAAGAGAGCAAGGTGCACGGTAGTATATTCCTGTTCTAAGAGAAGCAGGATAATAGGAAGATCTCTCCTAGATTTCCGTGGCGAAACAACGCGGATTCGAGCGTTTCAAGCCTTCCAAGCTCCTCTTCGTTACCGGTCTACCGAAACAAAACTACCTTTAAACCGGTTCGCTGAATTAAAATTTATCTACGACAGTCTGAATCATTCCGACGGTACAACGAACGCGTTACCTACGACACGGTTCAACAGACAACTCTTCTGTTATATTCATTTAACACCTTGCCACGTGAATAACCGGTGTTAGGATACGTGTCCGTTTTCCATGGAGAGGTTGTCGACTGGAAGTTTTTCGCTGGTGGACACTGTGGTGACGGCTTGGAGTGGATTATGTAAGGTTTGGTAGGAATATTTTGGGTTTAGGGATTTGGAGAGCTTCATGTTACAATTGGAGGGACAGTAACTGTGGAGACATTAACTGTGGGGACATTAACTGTGGGGACATTCACTGTAAGGACAATAATTGTGGTGACACTTCAGGATGAATTGTGTAAAGTCTAGTAAAGAAATTTTGAAGCTTAGGGATTTGGAGATCTTCACACTAAAACTGTAGGGACACTAACTGTGGGGACAGTAACTGTGGGAACAGTTCAGGATGGATTATGTAAGCTCCGGTAGGAAAATTCTGGGGTTCAGGTATTTGAAGATCTTCATCCATCAACTAGTAATTGCGGTGACACTTCAGGATGAATTATGTAAAGTCTGGTACAAAAATTTTTGAGTGTAGGTACTTGGAGATCTTCATCCATAAAATAGTAACAACATGTAATCGCACCCCCTTTCTTTTTAATTAGAAGAAATCTTCCAAAGATACCCCACACCCTTAAAGTCCCATGAACTCTTAAAGAACTAGGGCCAGCGCATAACCCAGTAAAACATTCCACATCAATTTAAAAAACAAAGAAATCGCGATCGGTTTCCGCCCAATTGTGAAATCGACAGCCAACAAAAGACGTCGACGGTTTTGACGAGGTGACAACAATAGAAAAAGGCACACCTCGACCTGGTATGCGAAGGTGGCGCGACGTCATTGTACGAATCGAAGAGTCGTTCAATTCGTTCAAAGTGGAAGACTCGGTTAGGCATTCTAATTAACCGGCACTGCTTCGTTACGATCTTAATTGGTGCACTGGATTGTTCTGTAGACTGGTTAACCGACCATCGGCTGGAACAATGGCCAGAACGGTCCGGACCAACCGGTGTAATTACCTGTTTCGCAATCGTGACGCTTTCACGAGTATTCAAACGCGCACCTTCTCTCTCGCGTTATCGCCTACGCGAAATTATACTGGCTTCGTCAAAAAGATACCTCCTATCAGATAACATTAATTCAATATTTCATTTCTTTTGGCAGATGAAGTTTCTTTGACCTTGTCATTTTGGGTGTTTTACGGTTGATCATTTTTAACCTCTTAACCTACAAATTTTTCGGTGGGTCGGTCGGAACTGACTAATCAGAGCTATAATATTAAAATAAAGAAAGTTGAAGTATTATGTCAATTTGGTATTATGTAATTGACTATGCATTGTACCATATCAAATTGGATTTGAACTCCAAATTGAAGCATATTAAAAATTCGAGTAAAATTGACGGAGTAAAACTGAAGTTTAAGGGCCTCATTGGTTAGACTCGTCAGAATAGTGCAAGGGGTTAAAGTAGCATACTTCAGCAATGATTACATTAAAATTATTTAAGGTTAAATTGTAACTTACTAAGAAAAGTATAAAAAGTACCCGTCATCAGTAGGCTTCACCACAGGGTGAAAGTCGAATTATCAAAGGTGCAAGATTGAGACAGATGCGAATATAAACAAAATGGCCGCAGAGAAACAAATCAAACAACCTCAGAATTGAACCAAAGACTATCACCTTAAAGTTCAAAATACTTGAATATCAATGCAAAAAGAACTTGTCTAACTCGTATTACAGAACTATAACCAAGAGGTGTTGAAGTTCGTTCAACCACATCGAACATCCTCCTTCGCCCAGTGTGAAGTGACCAATATCGATCTCTCGTGGTGATTTGTTCCGTGACGATGACTCCAAGTAATAGCAGCTCGTGGCGAAGGATGATGATTCGTTGAGGGAAATCGTCGATTCGTTAGAATTCGAAAGCGGTTACGTTTCTACCGACACTTAGCCTGCTGGACGCGGTCTGAACGTTTTCCAGCCGGTGGCGAAAGAAACTGCGTGCGCCATTAGAAAGGGAGAAAAGTTACTATTCCTGTTATTTTTTTTCAACTGCAATTTAGTTGCAAAACGTCATAGTAATTGCCTCGTTAATTGCGTGTGTGAGATATGTTCTACTTCGCTGTTGTCAAGTTCTTTGTACAGGTGCATTTATTAAAATTTATTAAAACAGGTGCATTTCTTATTATGTTATTTGTTTAATTTATTGGTTTATTTATTGGTATATTTACTGGTAGTTGTTAATTTATTAGTAGTCCCAAGTCTCAAACTTCCAAATTCCCAATTTCCCAAACTAACACATCCCCAATTCTCAAGTCCCCAAATTTCTATATAACCCAAATCTTAAAATCCCCAAATCCTCACATCCCCAAATCCCTACGTCCCCAAATTCCCACATCTCCAAATTCCCATATAACCCAAATTCTCACATCCCCAAATCCTCACGTCCCCAAATCCTCACGTCCCCAAATTCCTACGTCCCCAAATCCTCACATTCCCAACTTCTCACATCCCCCAATCCCTACGTCCCCAAATCCTCACATCCCCAAATCCCCAAAATCCCAACTCTTCAATCTCCCCCACAAAAATCCCCAAATCCCCGAAATCCCCCAACCCCTAACCAAATAACTCAGCACAATACCCATCGAATCCATAAACCCAGCAACAGTCCCAAAGACCATATTACTTTGTCGAAGCGAAACGATAGAAAACTCGTTCACGAGTCGTTTGCATTCCCCGTCGCAAATAAGAAACGATTTACGAGACGAAAGTTATGCATAGCGTTACACGTAAGGATGTGCCGCACGTTAGTCGTCCCGGTTCTAATGGCTGTTTGAACAGCGTTTTCTTTTTTCCCCCGCTGCTCGTAATAACTTTTTTGCGCGACCATAAAAGAAAACGTCTGCGTGCGCTTCCATCGAGAGGAGAGAAAGTGTTGACCTCGATACAATGGCCGTTCGATGAGGTCTCGAAACGCGTTATCGCGTCTATCGAGGTCGTAACTCGTGTTTTTAACCCGCGCTCAAGATGCTCGCCGTGTCCGCGTAATTTAAGCGCTGTTTAATATTCGAGGGAACACTGTTCCACGATGTTACGAATGAAAACAAGAGAAAGAATTCCTTCCGTGGGTAAATCGTACGGTTCTGATCGTAACTGGAGTACGAGGGACGTTGAAAAATCGCGAGTAGGCAGAGGTACTGTTAGTTTCCCATCCTTTATATGCACCTCTTTATAAATATTAATTAGATAATGTAATACGCTGATCCAGATTGCATTCGCTGGGTACACGCTTTTCGAATATTAATGAAACCCGATGAAACGGACAGTTATGCAACTGTGTTGCGCGACGCGTGCTCACTTTTCAAACTAATTAACGTTTCTTTTATTTTAGTTGGACTTTTGTTGTTGCAGGACGTGATGAGCGAGTACGAACGAATTAAGCGTTCGTGCTTGAAACGAGGGGAACTTTGGGAGGATCCAGAATTTCCGGCGACACAGACGTCTGTTTTCTACCATCAGACACCTCCTTTTCAGTTCCAGTGGAAGAGACCGAAGGTAATTCTTGTAATCACCTAAATCTACCGTAATCATTAGAGTGAATTAACGATTGTAGGAAGGATAAATGTTAGATGTTATTATATCGTGGTAGGTTGCATTGTCTTTGATGGATTTATCCTTGCTTTTGATTACATATGTAGAGTACATCGTTCATTACCAACATAAATCTTTGATGACGAAACGTAATTCGATAAGTAAATTAAAATTAACCCTTGATCTCGGTTGTCCCCACAGAGGGGACATTTTAAATGGCAAAATAAATTTTCAAAGTACAAAGGGTTAAATATGAAGTTTTTGGGTTCTCATTCTGCAAGTATTGTAAGAATTGTTATTCACCTCATCTTTCTTTTAATTTTCACTTATACCAAATTATGTCATAATTATTGTGTCCTTTTTATAATTTTTTAAATTTGAACTGTTACTATTTTATCTACGTGAACGAACTTTAGAGCAAATTGAACTGAGAGTTCATTCTGAGGGTAGAAGTCACATCGGTTTGCTCTAATTCCTACAGAACGGAAGGACGAGGAATCTGAAACCCAGGAACTGTAACGGAAACACTGCGCAGCCTTGACACAAAGTCTTATGTCTTTGTCGTCTGCGTGTTTATAATCGCGTAGCATCTTTACTGAGCGGCACAGTAACTAACGGGTCTTTTGCTGACAGAATTGTGTTATATAACTAACGAAACGTTAATTGCATCGCTAATTATGTCCGCAAGAATCTCAGTTAATTGAACCCTGGTAATGAAACAGGCTGCGAATGACTTTTTATAAAAACTGCTTTTGGTTTGGAAAACAGATGTCTGGTATGGTAAACGTAGATGGTAAAATTTTCGAGTTTACAATTTTTTGCAATTTCCAGTTTCTTAAGTTCTCAGTTCTTGAAGTTCTTAATTGCCCAAACTCGCAATTCCCTATATTGCCAGTTTCTTAAATTTCTAATTTGTCGAATTCCCAACTCCCCAAATTCCCAACTCCTCTAATTCCCAACTTCTCTAATTCCCAACTTCCCAAATTCCCATCTTCCCTAATTCCCAACTCCTTAATTTCCCAATTCTCCAAATTCCCAACTCCCCAAATTCCCAATTCCCCAAATTCCCATCTCCTCTAATTCCCAACTTCCCAAATTCCCATCTTCCCTAATTTCCAACTCCCCAAATTCCCATCTCTCCTAATTCCCAACTCCTTAATTTCCCAATTCTCCAAATTCCCAACTCCCCAAATTCCCAATTCCTCAAATTCCCAACTCCTCTAATTCCCAACTCCCCAAATTCCCATCTCTCCTAATTCCCATCTCTCCAAATTCTCAACTCCCCAAATTCCCAATTCCCCAAAAACCATAACTTGATAACAAAATAACGAAACTAAGTGAAGAGAGTAACAATGAACAATAAATTGACTGCAACTACCTAAAAACTCTATACGTATCGTATCCGCCATTTTGAATCAACAGCAAGAACAATCTATGCTTACATCCCTTCAAACTTAAAAATCCCTTAAAAATCATGTTTCCGTTTGTTCATAGATACATATCGTAACTAATTAATACACGAATCAGATATCAGGTACATATATTACATAATTATTGAATAACAAGCTTTCACTACGAGTAATATGAATGCAAGAGGTAAACCACAATTTAATGGCCGATGATCGTGTAGAATCTCGTCTGTATGTGCACGGTGTATCGTGACATCATTCGATAGCGTTTAAACGATTCTTTGACTCATGTGTTAGTCACTGACGATCTTCCGTTTCAACACAGGATATCCAGTTCATCGTTCCTCCTCATCAGCCGTGTCACGCTCTCCTTCGATCCTTTCCGGTCGCGCCAAAGCGTGCTAAGTAAACGCCTGTCTCGCGTAATAGCTGTTGCGTAAACGCAATCGTCGACCTTGTCGTAGAAACACGCCACGATGTCAGTAGCTTTTATTACGATCGTTATACGCAACATGGAGAACCATAATGTACCGTTCCAGAGGCTAAATAAGCTCCAGTTACAGCGTTGGGCCGCGTAGGCAACGTCACCCTGTACTCTTTCGCGTTTCGCAATTAATCCGCAACGTTGTTCGTTTACTCAATTGACCCTCGCATTGTGCATCTGGGTCTCTAATGACACCGACGTTACTAGGACATAATTGTTACCATTCGTATTTTAGAGAATTTTTTAGGTTGAGTAAATGTGGAGGATGTAGACATTTTTGATTTAGTTGATTTAGAGTCTTCGCTTCTTAATTTTTATTTGCAAAAATTTATATTATTTATGCGCTATACAAAGAACATAAAAAGGACAAATCTTGTCCATTAAATAATTCTTCATATTTATTCAGGAAATAGACTGACCAAAAGAATTTGTAAATATATGAACAAAAAGTTTAAATCACCAATTCAAACTCAATGTAAGTTTGTCATATAAATTAAATTTATTTATTTAACTTGAAACAGTATTGCAGAATAGAAGTAGTACGCTCGTGACAATGGAAACGCGAATAATCCTTAAGGCTTCAGTCACGTTCTGAGATTGTAATTAGCCGTAATTAACGGCAGCCTGTCACGTTTTACGTAGTCTAAATCCTGCGTCGAACGATCACGAGGAATTCCGTGAAATTGTTCCTTTCTTCTGTGACCGGAAACAACGTGAAAACCGTTTCGAAAAGAACGATAAAAAGTCGGGCCGTGCAAGAAATGTTCGCTTCGAAGGTTCGATGCGAACAACCCATTGCAAATTGCATTCCTCGACTTGTCTGCGAATAATTATGTGCCGCCTGGACGTAAAACGGTGCGTTATATAATCAGCCTTTTGTTCTCGGACTGAAACTTCCAACAGGTCCTGACAAATTAATACCGTGCAACACGATGCAGATATTTTAATTGGCGAATTTTTTCTGTTTCAAGGTCACAGGATGTCAGTCTGAGTATCGTTGTATAGGTGTACATGTGAAGAATGTATTGGAAATAATATGTGTACACGTACTCACATATGTGTGTGTGTACATGTTTTCTGTTGTTCAAAGTCACAGGATGTTAATCTGAGTATAGGTACACATGTACAATGTATTGGAAGTATATAATACCTGTAAACATATACATGCATACATGTGTACATGTATGTTTACATGTATGCATACTCAATATATTCACATGTATGTACACATGTATGCATACTCAACACATTCACATGTATGTACACATGTATGCATACTCAACATATTCACATGTATGCATACTCAACATATTCACATGTATGCACACATGTATGCATACTCAACGCATTCACATGTATAGATGCATACACATATGACTTACGTCCATTCTAATTTTATTATGTTTTATTGCAGGAATTATGCAATCGTCCAATATTTGTGAGCGACACGCCAGCCCAGTTCGACGTGATACCCGGGAAAATGGGTAAGAAGTATTTTCAATGACGTAACTATTTTCGTAAAAGTTCAAAAACTCCCCAATTCGCAACGGAGTAAAATAACACACACTGAAATCATAAACTTGACAAATATAAATTAAACCCAAGAAGCAGAAACCTCTCGCACAGTCCAATGGCAATATTCTTGTAGAAATACTTTCACGTGTTCCGTTTTAGCTCGTAGCCTCACGACTTATCTTCCAACCGCTACATTATTACTAGTATGGAAACACGTATCGATACTCCGGTCGACTCTCTCTATGAACGACCTCGAAATCTTACAAACCCTGAAAGCGGCTCCGTAACCTTTGACGAACGTGGGAGATAAAGCGTGGTCGTTTCCATGGACGCCATGGTTCGTAGGCTAACGACTTTCTTCTTCGTGATGGTTCCACGTGTGAGAAAGAGTACAGCTATTTTAACGGTGTACTCGATATTACTGGCGATTTAATTAACCAACAGTGACGATAGCCAGTGTGCATTGTGTGATAATCGTCTCGGGTATCGTTTTTACATCACTATGAAAGAATGTGGATGACAGAGGTACTCAAGATTGCTAATACTTCGTGATTCATTTTTTGTATTAACTTCTTGTTACTTGTGAATTGCAGATTATTGTATGATACAATTTTGAGATACGCTTGGAGGTAAAATTTTGTGCGGGTTGGAAGTTTAAATTTGGGGGAAATGGAGGAATAGTTGGGGTGCAGGGTTGTGAATAGGTTGGTTGTTTTCAAGTGTTCAAGTGAGCGTATTTGCACGCGTCGAATTTCCACGCGTCGTATCTCGACGCGTCGAATTTCCACGCGTCGTATCTCCACGCGTCGAGTCTTCACGCGCCGAATCTCCACGCGCCATATTTCCACGCGTCGAATCTCCACGCGACGTATTTCCACGCATCGAATCTCCATGCGCTGAATCTCCACGCACCGTATTTCCACGCATCGAATCTCCACGCGCCATATTTCCACGCGTTAAATCTCCGCGCTTTGTATCTCCATGCGTCGAATCTCCACGCGCCGAATTTCCACGCACCGTATTTCCACGCGCCGAATTTCTATGCGTCGAATTTCTACGCGTCGAATCTTCACGCGTCGTACCTCCACGCACCGAATCTCCACGCGTCGAATCTCCACGCGTCGTATTTCCACGCGCCGTATTTCGACGCGCCGAATCTCCACGCGTCGAATCTCCACGCGCCGAATTTCTATGCGTCGTATCCCCACGCGCCGAATTTCTATGCGTCGAATTTCTACGCGTCGAATCTTCACGCGTCGTACCTCCACGCACCGAATCTCCACGCGTCATATCCCCACGCGTCAAACTTCTATGCATCAAATCTCTACGCGCTGAATCTCCACGCGTTGAATCTCCACGCGACATATTTCAACGCGTAAAATTCTCCACGCGTATTCCTACCAATATATTACCAACCAAAACATCGACACCATAAATAAATCCAGGAAATTTAAGCGAACTCAAAGGAAAATCCTAGTTACGCCAATGGATGAGAGCAGCAGGCAGGCCAAGTATAGACGAGATCGTGGAATGCATCGCGAACTTAATCTGGTCCCGTAGAGAAGCCGTGTAATTCACGAGCGTGTAGCAACATCGTGGACGGAAGTCGAACGATCCAGGAATTCGTGCAAGCGCGTTCTGAAACACGCGGCGATCGCGGCAGCGTGTCCCGTTAGCGTGCATAACCACGTATATAACAGCACGCGCCAGCGACCGAGATAACCATACACTCGATCATCTCTTTCTTTTTTTCTTTCATTTTTGCCCTACATTGTTACGACTTTCGAAATTACTCCACTTGTAATCTGAATCGAAAGTGAATCACTTGTATTTCATTTTATACAGTATTTGTCAAAGTATGTTGTATTTTAGTAATTCGTATTTGCAGGTTGGAGTTAGAATGGGACATTTGTATATGTACATTTGTTGGAGTTTGATGGAAGGATTGATTGATGAAGACTGTTTTGATGAATGGATGGTGAAATAGTACAAGTTTGCATGTTGCAAGTTTCTTGCATTTTGTAATGCGAAGGAGTGTGATTGATGTGTTAGACCGCCGTTGTATGGAAACGTACTGTAACTCCACGCCCTATAATTTCTTACGTTAAATTTACTGTGCGATGTAATTTCACGGGTTGTATTCTAATCTTTATTATATTCTAATTGTACTCTGCGGTAGATTTCTACGCAAAGGATTTCTATGCGTTAGATTCTTCACGTGCTGTCATACCATGCGTCGTATCTCCACGCGTTGTATCTCTACGCATTACATTTTCCACGCGCCGTACTTCCACGCATCGTATCTCCACGCATTGTAGTTCTACGCGTTAGAACTCTATGCGTTGGATTCTCTACGCGCTATATTTCGATGCGTCGAATCTCCACGCGACGGATCTTCACGCGATGAATCTCTACGCGTCGAATTTCCACGCGCCGAATCTCCACGCGTCGTATTTCCACGCACCGAATCTCCACGCGCCGTATTTCCACGCGTCGTATCTCCACGCGTCGAATCTCCACGCGTCGTATCCCCACGCGCCTTATTTCCACGCGCTGAATCTCCACGCGTCGTATTTCCACGCACCGAATCTCCACGCGTCGAATTTCCACGCGTCGTATCTCCACGCGTCGAATCTCCATGCATGGTATCTCTACGCGTTGAATCTCCACGCGTCGTATCCCCACGCGTCGAATCTCCACGCGTCAAATCTCCACGCGTCATATTTCAACGCGATAAATTCTCCACGCGTCATATTCCTACGCATTAAATTCCCTACGCATTGTACCTCTACTCTTTCGATTCCCCACGCGTCCTATCTCCACACATTGACTTTCTACACCTTACACTCCTCACACATTAATTTCCCTACCCAGTTAATCCCCCACACATTACATCTTCTCATATCACATCTCCACATGCTATAACTGCCCATGCTACACCTCCTACAATTTTCCCGCCATTTATTGTACCCAACACTCCATCTCCGCGCCATAAATATTAAAACTGAAAATCTCGTATCTAATCATATTCAGAAATATACCGAAACATGCACGAAAGTTATAGACTTGGAAATTGGATTAAATGCCTCCGTGATTATAGACGTTCGTTTTTCCTCGTTGATTTGAATAATCAGGCCATCTCTTTTCCGCTCTACAAGCGCCGTTGGCACAGATATTTAGAATCTGATGGGAAAAAATGCAAGCGTGACGCGATAGTGTTGAACTATTATTTTAGTATATGATTAATAAGTGAAACACGCACATTGGTGAAATAAAGCCATCGGAACCGTCACGGAATTGTGTTACACTCAGTAATTGCGATCGGATAGTCCTGAATAGGCCATCGTTTATTTTCATGCGGCTCAGGGAAAGCTGATCGTCGGTTTCGCATTAATTACGGATCACTTTCCCGCCATTAGCAAGTTAAACGATCCCCGTTTGATGGGGTAAGGCTGTTGAAAGATCGTTCGTCTACGAACGATGCTCGTTAAAGTCTCGTTTCTGCTTCTGTAAACGAACTGCACGAAATCTTCGTTGCACAATATCATTTACTGTTCTTGACACCGATATGTGCGTAAACATCCAATATCGTTATGGACGGTTCTTTTTGTGCGAACCTTCGACCGGTATTACAAGAACGACGAGTTTCGCAGACGCGCAAAAATATTTGTTTAAAGGAACAAAAATTAAATGATTATTTCGGTTGTTATCGGAAGGTTGGCGAAAGTGAATGAGCACACGGTTTAAATAGAGACGCTCGAGGTGATATTACGTGGAGGATAAACGATCGAAAATCGGTTGTGTTTTATAGTGTTTGACCGTGGAGGTAATTTAATTTGACTGGATAATTTAAATGCGTCGGGCATGTAAAATTGATGTAAGAATTCGAGATAAGTATGCGCTATAAATATCGGTGTTATTATGTTGTTATATGGTAGCTTTTTACGGATATGTTGGTATGTACAATTTAGTTGGAACATGTTAATTGGGGGAGTGAGAATTAATTTTATTGGAAATTCAAGGTTTCTAAATTTTCTAATTTTCATTTTTCCAAGTACCTAAATTCTCAAATTTCCAAATTCTCCACTTCCTAATTTCCCAACACCTAAATTCGCGAATTCCAAAATTATCCTATTTCTAAATTTCCTACTTGCAAATTTCCCAATACCTAAATTCCCGAATTCCAAAATTCTCCTATTTCCAAATTTCCCACTTCCTAATTTCGCAACACCTAAATCCCCCTATTTCTAAATTTCCCACTTCCTAATTTCCCAACACCTAAATTCACGAATTCCAAAACTATCCTATTTCTAAATTTCCTACTTGCTAATTTCCCAATACCTAAATTCCCTAATTCCAAAATTCCCCTATTTCCAAATTTTCCACTTCCTAATTTCGCAACACCTAAATCCCCCTATTTCTAAATTTCCCAACACCTAATTTCGCGAATTCCAAAATTACCCTATTCCTAAATTTCCTACTTGCTAATTTCCCAATACCTAAATTCCTAAATTCCAAAATTCCCCTATTTCCAAATATCCCACTTCCTATTTTCGCAACACCTAAATCCCCCTATTTCTAAATTTCCCACTTCCTAATTTCCCAACATCTAAATTCCCCAATTCCTAAAATCCCCAAATTCCAAAACTTCCATATTAATCGTCGATATTTTTCTACTCACATAACATCATACCACAAAATCTCGAACCAGTCGACTTCATCGTCACGTGTTCCGATTACGTTTCTCTCGGAAGTCGAACAATTAAATAAAGCGTTACGCAAGCGAACGATTTCTGCGATTTCTTTTCAACGGATGATCGAACGTGAGAATCCATGAGTAAACACGCGGGAACGAGTAATAATTATTCGATAAATTATGGAAGAAATTGTTCCTTTCACGGCGATGAACTTCATGAAAAGCGAAAGAAACAGATTCGTAATCTCAGCTCGACGCGTGTCGTAACGTCGTGAGAACACTTTCCGAGATCGAATAGCGCCGCGACGCTATTTATTGCCTCCTATTCGATTCACTTTCCTCGAACGTGTCTAATCGCACCGCTTGTTACATGTTTTTATCGCTGATTTATTCGCAAATATTCATGTTCCGATTTACCGTTGGTAATTAAAATACCATTTTTTCAGAGATTACGAACAAACGCGGATAAACGTTCTCCATTACGCAGTCAATTAATTAACGATAATACAGAGCTCGTAAGTTTACTCTTCACAGCCATTAGTCTGGAGTTACATGTAATTTCTTTAATACCAATTTCGCGTTAAAAAGCTACTGAGTAGAAAATTAGGATGCGTTTCCTTCATTCATCAGCCGTAGCTCAACCTCTCATTGTTTACTATTCGGTCATCTTTAAACATGAGGTTATCTTATGCAATTTACACATAACACTTCGTTCGTATTCAGTAAAAGTTCATTCAGTAATAGGAGAATGAGACTTGAGACTTATTAATAATGTTTGCTTAACTCACTTTTGTAAATATATTTATTCTATTGATAAACAAATATTGGTTAATAAATATTTATAGTCATATGAAGTACCCATTAGTAGCCAGTTCATTTAAGTTCATCAAAAATCTCAAGTAATAATCTTTTGGCAAAAATCTTTAAACACTGATGTTATGGGCACTCAATGATATTTTTGGTATTAACAAAAAATGTTGCTTTGAAAAATTTTATATTGTCGAAGTTATTATTTCTCCACTATTAATTGCCACTATTATTATCCTATTTATACTTCATACTCTCTACGTCATATTCTCATTTGTATGCCCCTGCTTGTGTATCATATTCCCTGTTTAAGACATGTAGCACACAATAAATGCTGAAAATAACCATGTCCCTGTACGTGGAATAATAATACGAGAATGTAGAATAATAGAATTATTTTGCAGGTGATAAATGGTTGGTATCATGTCTCGGAGTACTCCACCTGAGCAAAGGACTGTTCTACCGAGTGGTACCAGCTGATCAAGGCTTCGGGAACACCGGCGAACCACCAGGATCACCGACCGCAGAATATGCCGGGGTCTTCAGATTCCGATTATGGTGGTGTGGTGCATGGGTCGAAGTTCTGGTCGACGACAGGCTACCAACGATTCATGGACGACTGGCGTTTGTGCAGAGCCGTCACAGTGATCAATTCTGGCCTGCTCTTCTCGAGAAAGCGTACGCTAAGTGAGTACCATCTTAAATTTCTAACTTTTGTGAGCTTAGGTTGCAATGTTAATCATCCCTTTATTAAGATATTGGGCAAAGGGTCTGAACTTTCGAGTTTGATACATTGCAAGCTTTTGTGGTGTCACTTCAAAGATGACAGAGATGTCAAAAGATGGCTGCACAGATGTTAATCGAGGCTTTAAGGTGTCTCTCCTAGGTTGGAACACCATATATGGAAATTAGGCTCTGAACCTCTATTAGACTCATAGGTTCTGAACTTTCGAGTAAGATACATTGCAAACTTTTGTGGTGTTACCTCAGGTTGCAAAGATGTTAATCACGTTCTTAAGGTGTTCCACCTAACATGGAACACCATATGTGGAGATTCGACTCTGAACCTCTAATTAGACTCATAGATTCTGAACTTTCACATAAGTCAGGTTACGTTGCAAACTTTTATGGTATCACCTTATGTTTGCAAGAATGTAAATCACCCTTATAAGGTTTCACCTAAGATATTAAGCTCTGAACCTCTAATTAGACTCATAGGTGAACTTTCAAATAAAACTAGTTACATTGCAAACTTTTGTGGAGTCACCTTATGTTGCAAAGATGTTAATCTCAGCTTTAAGGTATCTCTCCTAAGATCCGAACCTCTATTAGACTCATAGGTGAACTTTCAAATAAAACTAGTTACCTTGCAAACTTTTGTGGTGACACCTCAGGTTGCAAGGATGTTCAATCACCCTTTTAAGGTATTCCTCGGTATTAAGCACCTTAGGCTCTGAACTTTCGAGTAGAGATAACTTACACTGCAGACTTCCACAGTGTAAGTCACCTTAGGTTGCAAAGCTGTTAATCTCCCTTTTAAGGTATTCACCGCCTAAGGTATTGGACACCGCAGGTTGTGAATTTTCAAGTAGCAAGACACTTTAGATTGCGAACTTTTATAGTATATCACCTTAGGTTGCAAAGCTGTTCATCTTCCTTTTAAGGGTGTTCACCTTAGGTTGAAAACTTTATGTAGTGGGTTAAATTGCAAGGTGTCAAGATTAAGTTTACTTTATATCAGGTTGCAGAATTGTAAGGCATATTAGATTTAAAAAATTTTTAAGGTGATTAGGTTGTGAACTTTTGGTGAAAGTTTGCTTATAAGATAAGGTAGATTATAAATAAACAAGATAAGGTTAGGTTAGACAACAAAGATGCAACTGTATGTTGAAGAGCATAAACTTGAAGACAATACTGAAGAGTGACAATTTTGCAACACAAATTTTGTCATCGCTATTCGACCAGCGATCGCACTGGATTTAAATCGTATAAGGCGATAATCAGGGTTCATCGTTCGATCTGTAAGGTCGATCTTCGTGTTAACCTACCATCAACGTCCACCTGGTGAACGCCCACGCCGCCCACCGGAACTTACAGAATCGCTCGTAGTAGGGCGAAAGTTATTCGCGTATTTGCATATTCCACGGTCTTTCTCGCAAGAGATTCGTGTTGACACATAAATTAAATATCATGCGCCGACAAAAACCAACTAAACGATTCTATAATAAGTGACAGTAATTAACACATGAAAAGTATCAATGACGAATTTTAAAGTGGCCTTAGTTTTCCATGGAAAATATATTTTACAAAGCACATATATGCAATCGTATATGATATGTATTGTAATTAGTCCTCTGGCAATAAAATAGAAATTCCTATCTCACTATCAGTAATTTAATAAAATACCAGCAGTTACAACATTAGCATAAACATAACTTAATAAAACATCTCAGTGAATAAATAAATAAAACGAAACTGCACTACATAAAATTAATCAAAATTGCCGATTAAAATATGTAATTTCAGGGCAGGTATCATAAAACATACATCATAAATTACCGGGAAGGTAGATTAAGCGGTCTATTTTTGATCCTGGCACCATAACAGTTAGGATAACGAAACGACTCGTAATAGGGTGTGTGGAAAACGCATTAAAAGAACCGGACGTCATATCGTAAGTCGAGAAATTTATTCGGTGGTGTCCCATAAGATCTACGAAGCGAGTGATGGTTCCGCGCGATTTCTCCCCCGAGGTGGAAGATGCGTTTACGCGGACGAACGAACGACGATGACCGGTTTTGCCGGAGGTCCTTGCTCCTCCTCTTAATCTTTCCTCTGATGATCGTTCCTCCTTCCTTCTTCTCTCCTTCACCTCGTTATCCGCTTCTTACTTGCTTCCCTTCTTCGGCTTCTCTCCGTTTCTTGCCATCTATAAGCTCCGGGCTGGGCGTTGCTCTTGAAACGACTGCAACGTGACGGCCTCGAAGAGGAAGACGACCTCGCGATCCAACGGACGAAAGAAGAGCAAGATCCGCCGATAAGGATCGCGGAGAATCCTATGCTCCTTGCTTTTTATTTACGTGACTGTGCACGTGACAAATTTCATTGGCGATAACGCGATATTTACATCCCTCGGGCGAGTCGGGGTGTTTTAGCGTTGGCGGCGGGGGAAAATGACGATGTAGCAGATGCCAGTACGGGAAATGACGATGTAGAGATTGGACGTTTGCCATTTATGATGATGTGGGTACTCCAGGTTGATAGCTACGGGCTCGATATTGCCACGTGTTAAATTGCTACGGGTTGCTACATGTTAGATTACTAACCGGTGGATTGCTGTATGGTGGATTTCTAGGTGGGGGATTTTCACGAGCTGAATTAGCATTTATTATATTTTTACGAGGTGGATTTTTCACGCGTAGAATTTTTCATGTGTTGGAGAGCGCGTGTGGAATTTTTCACCTGTTGGATTTTTTATGCGTTAAGGTTATATGTGTTGGATTTCTACGCGTTGGATATCTACGCGTTAGATAGCCACGCGTCGGATTTCTACGTGTTGGATATCTACGCGTGGAATATCTACGCATTGGATTGTTACGCGTTGGATATTGGCGCGCTGGTTTTCTACGCGTTGGATATCTACGCGTGGGATATCTACGCGTTGGATATCTACGCGTGGGACCTTTTTCGTGAAATCAGAATACGCGTAATACAGTCTGATGACGAACGAAACGGTTATTGCATTATCGAGAAACAATCGGCATCGGCGCGTTGGTTTTCTACGCGTTGGATATCTACGCGTGGAATATCTACGCGAGAAATATCTACGCGTTGGATATGGGCGCGTTGGTTTTCTACGCGTTGGATATCTACGCGTGGAATATCTACGCGAGAAATATCTACGCGTGGAATATCTACGCGTTGGATTGCTACGCGTTGGATATGGGCGCGTTGGTTTTCTACGCGTTGGATATCTACGCGTTGGATTGCTACGCGTTGGATTGCTACGCGTTGGATATGGGCGCGTTGGTTTTCTACGCGTTGGATATCTACGCGTGGAATATCTACGCGAGGGATATCTACGCGTTGGATTGCTACGCGTTGGACATCGGCGCGTTGGTTTTCTACGCGTTGGATATCTACGCATTAGGATTTCTACGCGTTAGAATTCTACGCGTTAGATTGCTACGCGTTGGATTTCTACGCGTTGCAGTTCTACGCGTTGGATTTCCACCCGTTAGATCTCTACGCGTTATATCATCGTGCATTGAATTTCCTCATGTTCAATTTTCACGCTCTGAATTTCCATACGATCAAATTCTCACGTATCCGATTTTCACTTATCCAATCGCCTTGCATTAAATTTTCCTGCGTTGAATTTTGACGTGTTAGATTACATGTATAGATATATTATACTACCACAAACATCTCTACACGTTATATCAATACATTATACACATATATAAAATGAAAGTTGTAACAAAGAAATAATATCTACTATAGTACAGAGTGGAAAAACAACCCACGTATCCTACATAGCTTATCTATATAACCAAAAAATAAAGAAATCGAATATAATATAAAATACAGAAAGAACCTAAACATCCTATCTCCATAACCTATAATAAACCGCAACAAAGAAACATAATAAAACATTGCATAAAGTGAAATAATAGGATCGGAAGTAAAAATAGGCTGAAATAACAAGATACAAGGTATAAATTTTATTTGAATAAGAGTTTATTTTACTAAAGCCTACGCTTGCGTCGAAGGACGCTCACGAACTATAAGATTTTCGAATGATAGTTATCCAGGAGCATCAATTATCCGTACTAACGTTCAATTACCCTTGGAACGGTGGTTGTACTGGGAAATTGCTGTATTCAAACCTGTACTTGGCTAGAAAATTGATGATCGTCGTCGAATAACAAACATCTTTCAAAGTTTTGTCGCAACGTGTATTAGCAAATTCTATTACGGGTTTCTTGTATAAAGGGAAATCGCATTTTCTACACACGCGTAATACATAACTAATGTACGGTGTACAAGTGTGTACAGTCTTGGTCAAATCTAATTTTCTTGGGAAAAATATCGAGTTCGCAAGAGAAGGGTATTCTTTTCGGTCATTTTTGGGAAATTAGAAAGTAGGGAAATTTGGGAAATCATGGAAATAAGGGAAGTTAGGGAAGTTGGGGAAATTAGGGAGATTAGGAAGGTTGGGGGCTTGGGGTATGGGGATTTGGGATTTAGAGAATTGGAGTCTAGGGATGTGGGAATTTAGGGATTTTGGGATCTGGAGATTTGGGAGGTTTAGGGATTTTTGGGATCTAAAGACTGAGAATTTAGGGATTTTTGGGATCTAGAGATTTTGGGGATTGAGGGTTTTGGCATCTAGGGATTTGGGATCTAGGGATTTGGGGATCTAGGGACCTGTGGATCTAGAGAGTTGGGGATCTAGGGAGTTTGGGATCAAGGGAGTTTGGAATCTAGGGAGTTTGGGATCTAGAGAGTTTGGGATCTAGGGATTTGGGGATCTAGGGATTTGGGGATCTAGGGATTTGGGGATCTAGGGACCTGTGGATCTAGAGAGTTGGGGATCTAGGGAGTTTGAGATCTAGGGAGTTGGGGGATCTAGAGAGTTAGGGATCTAGGAAGTTGGGGATCGAAGGAGTTGGAGAGCTAGGGAT